CACACACACACACACACACACACACACACACACACACACACACTTTCAGGGAGGTGGCACTGAATGGAACTAGTAAACCAATCAGTTTACTAAGAATTGTGTATGAAGCTCATTCTTTTAGCCCAGGATTGACAAAGTCATCTGGCCTCACAGGCTGGATGAATGGCAGGGCAGCCACCATGGACCAGATCAAGTCCATGGATTCTCTCCTCCCCTCTGCATGCCAGATCCACCGCATGTATCATCTGTTCCAGCTGCTCCAGGACCTGGACTGCATGCAGCACCTGAGAAGCAGCCAGACTAGCCGGGGCATGTGACATAAATCCTGGAGTGACTGGAACAGGTACCACACTGCATGTGACACCCATCCTGAGCCAGCTGGAGCAGACACCGTACGTGGTATGTGTCCCAGACTGGCCAGGATATGTGATGTGGATCCCAGAGTTAGTTGGCTCTCCCCTGGGGCACATATGATGCATAGGTCAACTTAGACCCAGGGACAGCAGCGGGGGCTGGATAAAGGGGCCCCAAAGGCTATATCTTTGACACCCCTGGTTTAGCTAATTTGGTTTTGTCACCAGGAATTTTAAAATCCCTCATAAAACCTCATTTTTTTGCCTTTAATCGACAGCTATTATTTGGAATAACTAAAAGGAAATAATCTGTTGAGTGAGAAGCCATTTTTGCTAGAGTAATTTGCTAGAAGGGTCTGCCATTTTGTATCATTCCTAACATTAATTCCTTAAGAAGGTGACGTTTCATGTGTATTGGAAATGCTCTTTTCTTGGATGCAATATACTGTCATACATTTACCTTCTCATGGGACTATCGTAGTTTTGGGACAATGCCACAAAACCACAATGTAAGTTGTTACCACTGATGTTTCTGCAAGTACTAATACTGTACTTGTACATCTCTATACTATACATCTCTTGTACTTGTACCTCTCTATACTATGCATACTTTATTTCTATACAGTTACCTTCCTGATCCTGTGGCATAAAAATAATTTATGAATAGTATACCTAAACATGTTTCCCTCTTGTAGGTAATTAAAGCTCGGGTAAAAGAACTCATGATACCAAGGTACAAGATAATTGTCATTATCCATATTGGACAACTAAATGAACAGAGCATGCGAATTGGAAGCAGATGCCTTTGGGATCCTAAAAGTGATACATTTTCATCGTATGCTTTTAAAAATACCTCACTGTTTGCTCATGCAAATGTTTATGCTGTTTATTTTGAATAGTGAAAAGAATCTAGTGGGGGAAAAGATCCTAATCTATCTTATCATGTTTATATTATGAGATATATTAATCTATAGAATCATATAGATTATTATAGATCGAATAATAATATAGATAATAAATATTAATCCATCTATCTTATGTTTCTATTATGGAAAAAATTGAGGGAGGCCCCAGCCAGATTACATCTATTTTTAAAGGTGGATGTGATAAACCTTTAAAGGTTAAATGTAATAATCATGCATACCTACTTAAATGATTTTCTACTTTTACTACATTCCTTCAGAATGACTCCTACTAAAATGACATTTTGCACCTGACTGTATTTATATTTTAGAACCGAATACCACTTGTATCATTGTGTTCTGATTCAATCCTAGTCCTCAGTGTCAGTCCGTAAGTAAAATAGTGTTGTGTATAAGACCAATATTGGAATTTGGAAGGTAAAAATCCTTGTCCTACTCCACCAATACAGAGACAAGAAGTTGGGCATATGCACAACTAAGCTATGAGCCGTATGAATGGGTATTGCATAGTTAGGGTTTTGTGAGTTGCAAAGAGTGTCCCATAAAGATTTTTCAGGTAATTGATCCACGTTGTTCATTGCCTTCAGCTCTGTTTCCCCCCTTTCTTCCTGTCCTTACCTCTTCTGCTGCAGAACTGCAGAGGTTCTGCTGTTTTTTTAAATGAGAGGATTTGGACTTTTAGTTTCAATAAGAATTAAAAGCAGTGTGGAAAAGCTAGTGAAGTTATCGTGACATATATCAGTTTGCATATTTAAATATACTGCAGACAGTAATGTTTCTAGTTTGTGATATACACATGAAATTCTGTTTCCATTTTGCATGTAATAAAGTAAATCTGTTAGTCAAAGTGTACAGTGCAAGAGGTGAAAATCATTATTAAGATTGTTTTTAGGGGTGCACTGATAAAGATTTTCTTGGCCGATATGGATAGCCAATTATTAACCAGCCATATCAGCTGATACTGATCCGATGACTGATTTATAGGAATGCATCCTGGCAGCTTGGAGACCAGTGTCTGTCCAGTAAGTGTGTGAGGGTGTGGGGCAGGGACAGGACATTGTGGGGGCGGGGGGAGATCAAGGCCCCCATAGTGAGGGAGGGAGTGGGGCAGGAGCTGCCTTGCCAGGATGCTAAATGCTACCCAAAGAGTGGGATGGAGCCATGGATGGCTCATCTGGGAGGGCATGATGATGCGGGGGTGGCTCCCTGCCACTGTGCACACCCTTGTGGGAGGCATGTGCTTTTTGGATTTGTGCGTGGGGCAAGGGCAGGCAGCCTGCTGCAGGCTCAGGGCCAGAGCCTAGGCTGGCATCTTCCTGGCAGTGGGGCTGGGCCGGGCCTGCACTTGGGATGGCCAGCAATGGCGCTGGGACGGGTGGCTACGGGGAATCTTGGGGTGGCTATAGCCCACCCCATAGCAACCCCTCCCAGCACTGCCACCACTCACCCTGCCTCTGCCCCTCTGAGTGCAGCCCTGGCCCATCCCCCCCTGCTCAGAAGAGGCTGGCACAGCCTCTGGCCCTGAGCCTGCAGTGGGCAGCCTGTCCTTGCCCCGCAAGCAGATACAGGGGGGCACATACCACCTGTGGCTCTGTCTCACTCTCGGAGGGGTTGCATTCACCGCCCTGGCTGGGCAGCACCTGTCCCACCACTCCCTCCCTCACCATGAGGCCCTAGATTTGTTCCCCATACCCCTTCCACCCCCACACACACAGACTTACTGGCTGGATGCTGTTCTCCAAACTGCCGGGCTGCATTCCTGGCTGTGTGCATGCTGTAGCTGTGCACATACACGCAGCATTTATTGGTGACATTATTGGCTACACCAGTCAAAAGAGCCTGATTGCTGATAATGTTAATTTTCCTTTTATCAGTGCTGATCCGATATGCAACCGATATATTGGTGTACCTTGAGGTGTTTTATGTCTGGTTTTAAATAGAAATCTTGGTAAATCCCTGTCTGTTCACCTATATCTTTGCTTTCTTGCCAAGCTAAATTAGTGTTGTCCATTCTTTTCCTTGTTTCCACATGTGAAAAAACATATGTTGGTAAATTACCCAGGCAATGTGAATTACAGCATTCAGAATAGATAATGAAATCATTTTTCTTTTACAGTTTTTTAGAAAAGGACCAAATGCAGGTTACCATTTTCTGTCTACATGGTTTTTAACTGTTGCATCACGGTACCACTAAGACCCAAAATAAGTTTTTGACTCTGCAACCAAGTTTTCAACGCTAAAACCAGAATATATGTGTGCTAGAGTGTGTTGTTATTGTTGTTTCATGTACAAGAACTTCCACTGGACAAAGGTCAATGGCTGTGCGTGGGTATAATTTCTACAATAGTTTTCTTTAGGCCAAGCTCAGAAGTTCTGATAGAGACGTGCAGTAATCTTGCATCACAGAAGACAGTTTTTGCCTACACTAAAACAGCTTGAAAGAGACAGGAGATATTTACAGCTTTACCCTTGCATGGTGTATCCAGCTGGGCCAGAATTGCATCCCTTAGGGCACACAGAATCAGTGTGCTGTGTAGAAGTCCTTATCACATGAGCGACTGGTGCCTCCCGAGTCTGGGGAGGCACCCGCAGGCGCCACCAGTAGGGGCAGAGTTAGCAAGCTCCTGCAGGTGCTGCCAGCAGCAGTGGTGGCAGCCCTGTCGGGGGGGCCACGTGCCCCTCTTATACGTTACCTATGCCTTATCACATCTTTTTTTCGAGTCTAACAAGTCCTTACAGATGATCATAAACTATTAATGAATGTTTCCTAGTTTTATTCCCCCAGCCAAATAAATAAATCATACATTGATACTCCGTTACTACTGATGAGTTTGAATTATTTTCTGCACCTCTCTGAGTCCAATGTCCCAACAAAACCTCAGTTTATGCATCTGTTACTAGTGAAGTGATATTAAAATGTTCTTTTTTCAAGATTTGGGAATGAGCATGTTTAAAAGCTGAAGCTATTCCTGGTATTCTGGTAGTGTTTGGTTTTGGTTGCTGTAAACTCCTTTTCTAGTTGAAGAAATACAGTGAATGGAGAAGAAATGTAGAAAGTGTTTGAGAGAGAAATAAACGCTCTGATTATTTGATAATGCTTTTCAAACCTGAGGTTGAGCTTCAATAAGTGCATTGTAGATGGGCAAGGTCGTTGTCACTTAGGCATTATGGCACATAGAAGGTGCTTAAGGTCATTTTTATGAACATTTCACACCCTGAACCCCCAAGTACTTGTGTAATTCCCAGTTGGTTTGTGTTTGGAGGGAAGGGATGTCTTGTGGTTATAATACCCAGGTCTGTCTTTCACCTGAAAAAAAAATCAACCTTTCACACAGGAGGTTTTTGAGTCTGTGTAGTTTAGAGACCTACTGATAAACTTGACAGATTTATTCATGAACATATCATCACTAAAAGAAACCTTACATGGGGCTTTAATTACACAGTCAAAATGTACCAGGTGCCCAAGTTGAACAATAAAGAAATTCAATGCCAGCAAATGCAGCCCTCCAAGAAAGATGGGGGAAATTTGGATCTTACTTTTATATCAGAAAATAAATCATTCTGCATTATGTTCTATGGTAAACGGCTTTCTAAAACTTCAGAAATAAGTCGTTCATTCAAGGTTACTAAAAACAGCTGCATTTTGAGGAGCAGGTGCTACTGGTTTCATATATAAATATATAAATGTTTTTCTTATATGTAAAACATGGCTTTATATTAATCACGGTGTGATCAGTGGCAGTGGTTTACAACTCTGTACATAGACAGTGTTTGGTAACAGAATCCTCCCTGAAGGTACACAACTGGTTTTTAATTCTTGATATTAAATGCACTTCCTGATAAAGCATGATATCATATACTGTTGTTTTGTGGGACTGTGAAAAAATAGTCATCTCATAAACCATAGATGTTGGGGGATTCATTTTTATCTTGGTTCTGTAGGTCCCTCGCTATGAGTTAGACAATGGCAAGTAATCATTTTAGGCCATAAAACTTGTTTACTTGTCATTTCTGTACCATATGCATCTGCTACTGGGTGACCTGGGTCCAGCAGTGAATGTCCAGGTGTTAACTTTTATAGCGCTTAAGTGGTTTATTGCTTTACCAGTTATGTACCTTTCTCCATGGGTCATTTTTTTCATGTTTTACTTTTATTTATTTATTTTTAAATCAGGTGATCTAGGAGACTTGCTTTAGGATGGTAAAAATGTTGTGCCCCTAGTTGTAGAAGGTCTCAGTTAAGTAGTAATATTGTATAAATATATGACTGGGGCTAACACTGTAAGTTCAATAGGGTTTTTTCCCCTGAGTTTCTCCATGACTCTTATTGAAAGTCCAGTGTCTAGGGGCCGGATTCTAATTGACCTCTAAGGGACCTCAGAGCTGATCACTGAGTCAACTGCCTAAGCCCTGTGTGTGCCTAAGCCCCTCGCTCCCCCCACTGCACCCCCACCCTGCTGACTTTGCGGCTTCCAGCAGCCCTGGTGGCGGGGCAAGGCAGGACAGTGGGGAGACCCACGGCTGGTCTCTATCCTCTGTGCATAAAGGCTGGACGCAGCTGGGAGCATCCCCTTCCCCTCGCCATCAGCAGCTGCCCAGGGCTGTCACGCACAGCCTAGGCCGCAGCAGCAGCTGTAGCAGCCAGGCACAAAAGTGCTGGCAGTAGGTAGCCTCCCAACCTGCCCTGCCCCAGCTGATCCCTGCCCCAGGCAGGAGCAGCAGTGCCCAGCCTCCAGCCCCCACCCCCGCCTCCAGCCTCTGCTCAGCAGGAGTTGGGCCCGGCACTGCAGGTGGCAGCAGCCTCTACCTCTGCCTTCAGCAGCCAAATCTGGGACTTTGGCTTCAATTTACACCAACCAGCTGGGACACCACAGCAGCCGACGAAATCCAGGGCTGTTCTGGCCGATCCAGGACATATGTTCACCCTAATTCTAGGAAAGTATTTCCCCTGTGGGTAGGTTGTACCTTCAGGAACTTTTGATAGGAATTCTAGCACCTTTCTCTAGGACTCATAGTTATTACTGTTGGGCCTGCTCTACACGGTACAGGTATCATGCAATTCACTGGCTAATTGCGCAATTACCTTGAGACCAGCTACAAATGCACAATAGCCATAAAAAGCTCCAACCAGCTATAAAATTAGACCCCAGAAATGCGTACTAACTTTATAGCTGGTTGCTATCAAGCTTTAATCTGTACATTTAGCAGGGTCTCTGCTGCATCTGGGAGCCCTGTCAGCTTACAGGGCTCCCAGTCCCCAGGGCTGCTGTGGCCCCCAAAGCTTGGGCTGTGTGAAACCCCTTGGGGCACACAGGGGGCTCATGGTCTCAGTTGTGTCTCACCCACAGCCAGGACCTAGAGTCCTGCCCCTGACAAGGCTCTGGGTCTCAGCTGCGCCTTACTAGCACTGTGGGTTGCAGGGTTTCTGAGTCCCAGCTGTGCACGAGGCACAGCCAGAACCCAGAGCCCCATGAGCTGTGGGGACTCTCCTTCCTGGCTGTGCATAGCCCTTGCGACTGGGAGCCCCCTCAGCAAAGGGGGCTCCCAGCCATGGGTGCTTGCTTGCTTGCTGATGCAGGAGGAGTCTAGGATCTGGCTCCCCCTACACCAGCAAGAAGGATCTAATGTGTGACTATGGATCATGTGTTAGATCCAATCACGACTTTACCTGCATGTGTAGAGGGGGCCTTGCAGACTGAATCACTGGTGTGATCAGGTATAGCAAATCAAACATGCAATTTGAATCCCAATGTCAGTCTGATACTATGTATATAAAAATACATATACTGTATTTTGTTATGTAAGGGAGCCTTTGAGTGATGCATATACCCAGGTCTGATAGCTCTACTG